ACATTTTTTTGGAACTTCACACGATCCTAGGGAAGGTTTATGGATGGTAAGAATTGAAAAAATTGCCCTTAATTTTTTTTTTGGATTTCTGTATATCACGAAAAAAACTCGATTAAAGAGCAATAATAAAAGTTAAAATCTAAGTAGGATAGATGCCTGATAAGGAGGGGGGAGAAGGCCCCTCTTATTCTATCAATTGTTTGTCCTTGACGGAAAGAATTTGATAACTGAAAAATCTTAAAAGTTCTATGTTTTAGAACACTGTATACAGGGTGTTTTAGAACACTGTATACAGGATGTTTTAGAACACTGTATACAGGGTGTTTTAGAACACTGTATACAGGGTGTTTTTGAACACTGTATACAGGGTGTTTTAGAACACTGTATGCAGGGTATCGCAAAAGAGAAAAAAAGTGCAAAAGGTATCCTATACTGTACAGGATTTCCGATAATAATATTTTGAGCCCTTAGTTCCCAGTGATATGTACTACAGCAAGTCTTAAAATAATATAATATATGATAATATGTAGATGATAGGCATCGTGTTACAGTAATAGTTAAAGCTTTTTTATCACGCTAATATAACATTTTGTTCCTTGACCTTGCAATCTGTGACTTCCTATCTCAATTTGAACAATAAAACATTAATTTTTCACTTTTTCTCTATAATACTTTTTTTGTTGGAGAATGCGTGTTAATTTAAAAAAAATACAACTCCGTAAGTTTAAAGATTGTTAAATAATAGACCAAAGATGAATTGAATTCAAATCTCGCCCTGGTTAGTCCAGGGTGTCATTTTAACTGTTTTACCTAACAGTGGTCCAAAGATTGCAGCTTCTAACGTAAAAATCATTAAATATTTTGCCAATGACTTATTGCAAACTAAAGCTTATTACAAGTGCTTTGTAGTTTTAAAATGTACATGTTTTGGGCTACACAAACTATAATTGAGGTCAACAAATTTGTTTTCAAGTTTAAACTTGCAAATCTTAAAGTTTTAAAAACTATTTTTCGGATACTTTACCTCATATGAATAATTTACTTTTAACAAAAATTAAAATTCTGAGTTGTTAAAATTGTCACACAAAAAAGTTAAAACGAAAGGGGAATTTTGTTTACCAAAAAACTGTTTTCTTTAAGAAGAATAAAGTATAAATCCTTTTTTTTAAGAATTCAAATAAAAAATTGTAATCCATGAATATGTGCTTTCCCCTCCTTCTTGTAATCTTTTAGATTCTAGGTAGCACATGTGTTTATAAGGAAGGGGTGTATATCTTTCAGAATTTTTGATGAATTGGGGGAAAAATAAAAATTTGACATACAAAGGCAAATATTTTTAATACTTTTTAATTTTTCACCCTAAAATTCAATTATTTTGCCCAATTCAGCGAATAACGCCATAGCATAATTGTTTCCGCACCGCGCAAACATAATCATTTTTCGAGGTTAAAGGGACTGTTTTCACAATGTAAAATGGACTCTTCATAAAAAGAAAACCTTTAATGATTTACAATTCTATATCTTTGAAACGACGGTGAGGATATTCTTTTCTTTCTATAACAAATCTGAGCTGAAAACTTTAGAATTGTGGATATTGAGATCAATGCTTGATCTCCTCTCTTTATTAATCTTCCGGCTAATTTAATCTAACGTTATATATCTGGGAAATCGTCTAAACTGCAACCAATCAGAGTGTTTATCGTAGAAACCGAACAGCCAATCAGAAGCCAAGAAATTTCAAAATGTTGGCACTTAATTAATCTCATATTGTTCGAATAAAGCGGGGATATCCAAGAGAGAAGATTAAGCAGAAAATAAAAAGTTTCCACAGACCACAAAGATTTAGATACAGAGATTTAGCAATCGTGATTCCAATACAAGAGTTATCAGCTCAGGACGAATTCTGTAGTAATCCACATGTTGGATATTGAGAAACAGAAAAACGAAACTATTCGTTTTGAATAGTATACTTGACTTTGAGAAAGTATAAAAACAACGAAAATTAAAAAGACCGAATGTTCAAAAATGTTATTTCTTTAATGCTGTATGATTGTAATTAATAATTCTGAATTACGATGATTTGTTGTTAAGTAATTTTTATATGTACATAACAATACCATTTTTTATATGTACATAACAATACCATTTTTTATATGTACATAACAATACCATTTTTTATATGAACATAACAATACCATTTTTATATGAACATAACAATACCATTTTTATATGAACATAACAATACCATTTTTATATGTACATTACAATACTATTTTTATATGTACATTGCAATACCTTTTTTTATATGTACATTACAATATCATTTTTGTATGTACATAACAATACCATTTTTATATGAACATAACAATACCATTTTTGTATGTACATAACAATACCATTTTTATATGTACATAACAATACCATTTTTGTATGTACATAACAATACCATTTTTATATGAACATAATAATACCATTTTTATATGTACATAACAATACCATTTTTGTATTTTCTAGCCTTAAAACAGAATGCTTTGTGCAGACCTAATGATTAGGTGTTTAGCATAGAAGATAGTGTCGCCAATTATGACGTTGCTATTTCTTCTTATTGAATTTTAGATCCATTTGTCCATCTTTTATAAAACTTTTTTGTCTGTTATTTTAGCGACCTTCGCCTTTAATTTTTTAAGTTTTCCCTGACGACTATTATTTAGTCAAAATACATGACTTTGCTGGTCTCAAGCACAATATGGGTTTGCGTACACGGAGGGTCGAATCTTTCTTCGTGCGTGGTGCGTACGATATGGAATTTACAGTTTCTTACGCATGGATTGCAGCAAGAAATATGGGGGAACTTAGTTGGCGTAACGTGACGCAAAAATGAACCCAACAGATGGTTGTATAGAAGCAAAACATAAAGGAAATGGTCAAATTTTGAGGATTTGAAACACCTGAGTTGGTTTGATAACACAGTATTATAAAAGGCATGCAACTTGGGGTTCGTGCGTTGAGGTTTGCGTAACAATATGCGTCATTCATAAAGAATTCGCAAATAAATTTGCTTTGTGGTTTCTGGTTTCTGCAGCTTTATGGAGTTCTATTTAAAATAAAACAATGAGGTGCTTCGGGCGGGGCTGGAAGTGTTACATTAATTATGAACCAAAAATTTAAACTTAAAATTTCGTTTTTTAAATATTTTTTACTATTTATTTTTTTACATTTTATTTTGATCCATATTCGGAACTGGAATAGAATATTTGACTTTAATCCTATAATTTCTATACTTTTTGTTTATTTTTTTTCTCTACAAAATTGGATCAATAAAAAAAATGGCCTTAGTTAATTTACTGCTAGTTGGTGACCTCTGGCCTTTATCATGTTGGTTGGCCTTTATCATGTTGGTTAAGGATTCCCTATATTTCTTTAACCCTAGATTTAAATTAGAGTAGGGATCCGTATAATGTAATTGGTTTTAGGGCCTATTAGTACATGTTCGCTGTACACGCACTGTACATTGTACAGTACATAAAAGATTTGGAAGGTTTTTTACTTTTTTGAAAGAAGTAAGGAACGAACTTCAATTAGACGTTATCAAGGGGAAGGGGCGGCTACTAAAAGGAACAGTGTAAAGACTGCCTAATTAAAAACAGAACAGATTGTTCAAAAATTATTTGTAAAAATGTCCTTTTTAATTAAAGGGATTAAAAGTGTAATTTCCATGCAAAGATGGCAACGCCGCAACGGTATTCTTAAAAGATTTGTTTCATAAAGTATGAAAAAGAGGGTCACTTGAAATTTCTCTTACAGTCCCTTCAAAACTGTATTTTTTATATGGTCATCTATCTGCCTGTCTAGCATATAGCGATAGTGATATCTAAATCATTTATTCAATTAAGATAAAATTCAAATGGGAAAAATCCAGAAAATTTCAAATTTCCTAACCTGGCTTATAGATGTTTAACAGAGGTTTAAAAACAAATATCTAAGTAGAATTTCTAGGATACAACTTTTGTACAATTTTTAACCTGTATACATCTTTGTACACTATTCAGTGTACACTGACAATGTACAATGTACATATCTACTAAAACGAAAAGAAGAAAATATGAGTTTGAAAGTTTGAAAATTCAAGAGTTTAAAAGTTTGCGAGTTTAAAAGTTAGAGAGTTTAAGAGTTTAAAAGTTAGAGAGTTTAAGAGTTGGAAAGCTGCAGAGTTTAAATTTTTAATGTTAATTTTTTCAAAGTTAAAAATTTTTACTTTAAAAGATATGTTTAAGATTTTGAATGTTTGAGAGTTTGAAATTTTGAAAGTTTTGATGTTTGAGAGTTAAAAGCTTGAATGTTTGAGAGTCAAAAATTTGAAAGTTTGAATGTTTTATGGTAAAAAGTTGGAAAGTTTGAATGTTTTATGGTAAAAAGTTGGAAAGTTTGAATGTTTTATGGTAAAAAGTTGGAAAGTTTGAATGTTTGATGGTTAAAAGTTGGAAAGTTTGAATGTTTGATGGTTAAAAGTTGGAAAGTTTGAATGTTT